GGAATACGTTACAGAATACATTTTGAGACATGTATTCTGTATTCTGTAATGGAATACATTTTAAAAGTAACCTTCCCAAAACTGTATATATTTTGGTTATTTATTGGTTATATCCTTTAGGATTTAATGTCATCTTTACACATTTGTAACATTACATCCAACAGTTGAATAGATTTTTCACTCTGGATTACTGTATGAGACACAGTGTTCACCTGAAACATCTTGACTAACCGATCAGGACGTCAATCTGTGTCATTTTTCAAGTATGAAAATGTGCATGTACATTACCCAGTACTGAAAGCTGAATAGCCTATTTACACTGCTTACTGTCAGGGTCCTGGGTCTGAGTGACCCAGGGTTCCTGAGGAGTTATGGACATGTGTATTTTTGGTGCTGATGTTCCTCGTCTTCCTGGTTTGTGGGTTTGTGGGTTTGTGCGTGTGTGTGCTGAGCACTGGTCTACAGGAGTCTTCATGGCTGGTGGGTGTGTCCTGCCAGGTGGCTGGTCACGCCTAAGGACCTGACACACCTGCAGCTGATCTGGTTCGTTGGGGGAGCTATATAGGGGTGTAGCTGAGAGCTCCTCAATCATTGAGTTAGTGTGTGGCTAGTGTAGTGGCGTGCAGGTCGTGTATGTCCGCGGATGTCCGCGGGAGTTGTGTTTGACGGCTGCCTCTGTTGTTTCCCTGCAGGAGGAACGTGGAGCAGAAGAGGACAGCATGCACGGGGCGTGCGGAAACACGGGAGCAGAGAGCACAAGCACGGACGTTTGAGTGAGACACGACACGGGAGTCTAGGGAGCTATGGGGATTTATTGTGTACTGGTTATTTACTTCACTGTAAATAAACGCACTGTCTTCATTAAAGAGTCCTTCCTCACATCCCCACGGTTGGTCAGCATCAACCGTGACACTTCTTCAATATTTTAGGATAAAATAACTAAAGAAACTCCAAATCCAAAAAGAAATTTAGTAAAATTTCAAATTTACTCTTCGATTTTTAGAATTTATAGCTTTCTTGTTTATTCATGCATACTGTAAGCTCTATTGTGTATGCTGGAAGCACAATGGTGCAGAAATTAGCACAGCAAATATGTCGATTGGTCAGGTTAAATTCTTATGTACAGATGTGAGATAAATAAAACTTTAATTGAGAAGAGTGTCCCATATTAGTAACACTTCATTCGTGTTTGAATGAATAAATACTTACCTGTTTTAGTAGGTTCTTTTTTTGTACATTAAGGTACAAAATTATGACAAAAAGGTTCGTACACTTGTAGTTTGTTAGAAGTACAAACTACAAGAGTTAAAATAGTATGTCATGTTAAGGGTACGAACATAGCTGGACTGGCCATCGGGCATACCGGGCATTTGCCTGGTGGGCCGATGGGGATTTTTCATTTTTATGGGCCTTTGACTTTTTTTTTTCTTCTTCTTCTTCTTTTTTTTCTAACGGCATAAACAATGAAAGGTGGTGGATTGGCCAGATGCTGGTCCATGTGTAAAATGTAAAAATAACTCAGTTGTTTGGTGGTGGATATGGTGGAGCTGGATGAGGGAAAGGGGAGGCAGGAGGAAGAGAGACCCGAGGCGGCTGCCCGTCTGAGTTTCAGGTGAACTGAACTTCAGGTAAGAAGTTATGACCTGCAGTCTGTCTGGGTCAGATATAAACCAAGTTTAGGTTTAGTTTATTTTTGTTGTGCTGACTTTTTACAGTCAGTTACAATAACTCGTACTGCGTACTAGCTAGCATGACGGAGTTTCTATACAGCTGGGTGGGTGCTATGATGTTACTGATAGTGAACTTGATTCATTAGGTTAGTTAGTAGAGTTGCCCACCATCCCGTAAAAAATGGAATGTCCCACATTCAGAGAAAATATTACGGGGTTTGTATTGAGCTGAAAAGGAACACAGTTTGTCCCAGACTTCAGCTAGAATGAAAAAGACAGAAAGCTGGAGTTATTCTGTATCTTTACGCTGCACAGCTGCCTCTTCTTCTCTCATTCTCTCCCTCTCCTGTTGCTACTTCAATCATGAAACTGATCAATGATCAGCTGATCGGCTTTTCTCTCTTGTTTGTTTATCGCCCACTTTGCGCCAGAAAGAGGAAACCAGTGGATGTCGCTAAACAACAGCAGCACGTTTAAGCTTGTCAGAATTTATTTAATATTAATTTCTAGGATCAGCTGATGTTTGCTGGAGCCACAGCTGTAAAAGCTGCTGGTCATGATGTTGGTTTGTATTTCTGGTGAGAGGGAAACATGAAGATGAAACCAGGAGATGTCCTTACTGAATCAACAGAGCTGAACAGGTGATGGAGAAACAGGTTTACCTTTTAGGTGACATGAATGAGTTGAAGGGAAGTTATGAACTGTTTCTGAGAGACAAATAACACCAGGATCCTTTTCTAAGTAGCTGACAGCTGGTAACTGTGCAGGGACGGGTCTTGCAAAGTTGTGCCAGGGGGCCAGGTAGGGAAAAGGGGGGCACAAATAAATACTTTTCTTTCTTTTTCTCATTTAAAATGTCTCGCTTTTAATAAATAATTATCTGAATCTTACAACCAAAGTTTTTATATGATGTAAAATGTATAGAAATCATACAAATACCAACAAGATTGTACATCACTGTCACAACAGCGTTTGTTTTCATTAAAAGGCTTTATGGCTTTAATACCTGGTGGGCTGATCTCTAGTCAAAATGCCCAGGCTGATTTTTTGTCCTGTCCAGCCCCGGTCTGAAGTACAAACCTCCCCTTTAAAAAACTCCCAAACGGGCCATCAAATAGTCAATAAGTTATTGAACAACTCGTTGTTTTGGCACACCTGTTCATTAAAGCAGTCACAAAGAAATTAATCATCATTGAATGTACTGTTGATAGCAAAAAGTTGATAGCACAGTTGATATAAAGTGGGAAACTATTCATATAGGTCAAAAATGTTCTTTGTAACAGGCTGTAAACTTGCTATTTGATACAGTTTAATTGGGTGTTTTAGTCTGTTGGGACTGACTCAAGTCAAATG